GAACTTCTCGTCGAAGAATTCCATGTTTTGCCATATTGGATGGAAAGCATTGGAAGATCGAGCATCCTGCGCATACAGGATCGTTAAATTATAATTATAAGTCGTTTTATTCATTTAATTCTCTTTTTTGTTGTGATGCAAACTTGCGTGTTATATATTTGCAAATCTCTGAGCTTGGAGTAAATTCGGACTCCCAAATGTTCAGAGATGGGCCTTTGGGAGCACTCCTCGAAAATGTAGCCACAATAGGTGGATATCGCCCGCTTCCGAATTCATCCATTATAATGCCTCCATTTATAATTGCTGATAACGGATTTGGACTATCTAAGTTTCTTATGCAACCCTATAGGCAGCTTTCCTTGACTCCAGAAAACATGCGTTTTAACGAGATTATGTCGGCAACTAGGGTGAAAATTGAAAATTTTTTTGGTGTGATGCAGTCGAAATTCCAGATTTTCAAAAAAGCCCTTAATATGGACCCGTCTTCTTCGCGCGCCCTCATTGTAGCACTTTCAGTTGTACATAACATATCACTAGGTGCTCCTCCCGATCTTCCACCTGACCACAACTTTCCCTTACTTCAAGACCCATACAGCGATGCCGAAGATCAAAGAACGGCATTAAAAAATTATCTTCTTTATCATGTTTAATGTTTATCTTTTTAAATTTAATTGTTAATATAATAAAAAAAATACTTAAAAATAATTTTCGTCCAACAAACTGAGAGAAGTCGTCTGCTCATTTCTTTTGCCCGTCGGTTGGAGATCCATGATGAAAGCGATCGCTTTCGCTTCGGCTTGAATTTGATCCAATTCAGGCCAATCCGCAACGTGGCTGGCCATGACCCTGCACAATCGGTCAAATTTACATTTGGGGGTTTCCTTGGCTTCCTCATCATTCGATCTAAGCAGCTGCTTGTTTTCGCTGTTCGTCTCGCGCAACATACTCATCAGCTCATCGCTGTCTAAAACATACCCATAAAACTCCATTTTTTATTGCTAGAAACCTGATTTTCTTCGTTTAGCAGTCTTCGGACTATCCGAGGGTCCCCGCGATTCAAGCAACTCAATACTTTTATCACCGCATATGAAGGCACTGTAGTAAAAAAAAATTAACAAAAAACAGGTAAACTTACTTTTTAACTTGTCTTTTGTGTCTGACTCCATCCAAAAACTGTAAATATTCCGCAAACGGAAATGATGATTCCAATGTTCCAGTTCCAGATCGAGCATTTTGGATTCGCAACACATGTCTATTGAAATCGCGCGTTATCGAATCCCACAATTTCCAAGCCGTCATACCTAAAACTTCAATTTTACCGATAGTGGTTTTGAAAATACCATTTGGTCTTCCGGCGCGGAGAAATTTCTTGCACATGCTTTCGATATTCTGAAAGACCTTAAGCTTCAATTCTCTCCTGTGGTATTCTTTAATAGATGAGTCCCAAATACTTGGGTACTGCTCAACGGTCTTGATGAAGTCCACAATAAAGTGTTGTGGAAACTAAAAAAATTTAATTAATTTATAAAATCCAACAATTAATTTTTAAATACTCACCGCTTCATATCCGTCATCTACAAGTGGCTTTCTCCTTCTCGTGCGCTTAGCTTCTTCACGCTGTTCAGCAATTGGCAAATTTCTTGGCCCATGTGCCTCCACCACGTCTTCGACCAAAGAGTCGTTTCCTTCATACTCAGCGAATGACATGCTTCAAAAAGGAAATATATGCACAAATTAGTAGTTTTTATGAATATCACCAAGTGTTACTCAAAAAAAAGTTTAAATTATTTAAAAAAATCCGCGAAAAACGAGTGAAAATACGAAAATTTTAATATAAAAAATATTTTAAAAAAATCGATATTCAAGGAGCATGTGCCAATTTTTTTGAAATATCGACCCGCGATCTACAGTACCCCTCAGTAAAATTAAGCGCTTATTGCGACAAAAACGACATCGCTGCATAATGAAAATTTGTCGTTTTTGTTTAATTTACATTCACTGAATAGATCCATAATTAAACGCGAATTTAATATACAAATGAAGACAACGATTTTAAAATATACAAAACAAATTCTAGCAATACTTAATTGTAGTTGGTGATCGCAAAAAAAAAACAAAAAAAAAACAATGACTCGCTCAAGATTGAAATTTCCATGCGCGACTCGGCCACGGCCACGCTTTACTCGGCCAGCCGGACATTGCGGGTATTCACGAAGTCCAAAATTGATCAGGCATTCGTGATTTCGAAGATTCCTCTTCACAGTTGTTTGGCAACACCGCCAACTTCTCAATACAAATACGATGGAAGTCGTTATTCAGAATCATATCGAATATCCACTGCATTAAACAATCTCATTTCAGTTTCACATAGAATAGAATCGCTTACGCAATTTTTCTTCAAATAACGGATTTCCTTGAATTCGTCGTAAATTCCTGTCTTCGTGGAATGTTCGATGATAGGTTCTTCTCCTTCTCAATACAAATACGATGGAGTTATTAAGAACGATGTCGAAATTCACTTAAAAGTACCTTCGATATGTTTGACAATATCTAGACGTGAAGCAGCTTGGAATACAACATAATAGGGAATAGTAGAAGCCGACGAAATGCTTCTCTTTTATACACCATCTTTTCTTTTTTAATAAATCGAATCATCAATTATTATAATCGAATTAAACTGTCGAAAAATCACAGAAACAAGAAATTTCGCATTTTTTTTTGTTGCTAAAATTAGAAATTGTTCGATTTTCTTTTCCGCTTGCCGTCTTCAGTGAAGATATGATTTCTTTAAAAGAGATGGCCTAGAATGGTTCAATTACGAATTTCTAGGCCATAATGACCCAAATGATTGAAACCCAGCAGGAATGCGAATTTTATCTGTTTTTTCCAAATATCGATATTCCAATTTTCGTATTTCCTAATTACAGCGTGTTTTTTTCAGCAAGGATTACTGTAATTTTTTTTGTAAAAATATTGAAAGGAATTGATTGGAAGTTGAGAATTACACCAATTTCTATTGAGTCATATATTTTTTATTAAATAAAAATTGTATGAAATCGCTGCAAATCGAACAAGATCTAGTATTCCTCGAAAAATGTGCACCCATCGAAGGGTGCCATCGCACCAAAAGGACACCTGTCGTGTCCGTGACGAGAAAGAAAGAGAGGAGAGGTCGCACCACCACCAATCAATAATGTGGCGTCTTCTGTCGTGTCACAATCAACTCCAACTGAACCATTTTTTTGTTTGTCTCCTTTAAGCATTTGTCAAACTTGAACCATTTTTTGATATTTTTCAGCAATCATTCTTAATTATTTTTCTAAATGTGAAATTTGCCCAAAATTCTATTATCATCGCAAAGAGCAAAAAAAAACGAGCGCCCTTGAATAATTGCGGATCATCGCAATTCTTCAAGGCGGTAATTCAAATTCGAATTTAAATAATGCGAATCAAACTCGTGCTCGTTTTTTTGCGAATGCAATTTTTCTTCAAAATTGAGCACTCATCAGATATTGTCCGCAGCAGGAATTCTTTAGAACACCTGAAACATGAGAATTTCAAGAACTTTCAATTTATACACACGTCTGATCAAACTTCGATGTTTCAATTTCGCCAATTTTTCTAAACATCTATTCGTTACGTCGCATTTTTCGAATTTCTCAACTCTTATCGGCATTCAGAAGCAATTTCGACAAATTTTTTCGATTCGCGTGGACGTAATGCGTCCACCCCATTTTTCCTGTGTGTGTGCGGGTCTCGATTGGAAAATCAGAGCTGACAATGGTATTGTTTTAAATTATAATTTTTTATTGTTGCCCCCTAAGTGTAGATTTACTAGCAAATGCATAAAGACAGGTCAAACGCGCGCTAAGACCTTTATTAAACAATTTTCCGCATCCACAATATTTATTAATAATAAATGTTTTTAAAAAAATTGATTAATTGATATTTGCATTTTTCCGGACGGTTTTGTACACCGTCCAGTGCGACTTTATTCAAGTCTCACGAATTTTCGCACAAATTACATATTAATATTGATCGCACACCGCAAAAAGAATGCAAAACACTCACAATCGGCTGATTCATAAATTTTCGAGTTCTGCTGACCACAGAAATCAATGACAGACCGAAACTCGGCTAGCTCCAATAGAGGGAGCTGGCAATTTCAACATGGAATCATAACGGTTGAAGCACTCCCAGCCGACGGCCAAAATTTTTTAATCGTTATTTAACTGCACTAATTATTATATTTTTGCTTAATTGTATATTCAAGATACCAGGAGGTATCATTTCCGATGTGATCTATTCGGACGCAGCTACAGTAGAGAGAAAAAACGATTCGTACAGACTAGCATCAAATTTCTGGGATTCATCGTATCACAGAACGGAATCCAACCAAACCCAAACGAAACCGAAGAGGACACTGAGCGGCACCCAAACTCGGACGACCATTCACAATTGAAGTGGACAGCTCAAGGAAAGGAGTCGGAGCTTTAACGCGCCAAGCTCAAGATCGGATCCGGAAGTTTCAGTCGGAAAACCGCGGTCAACAGCGACTATACTCATTCGATGTTGAATTCGACTGGATTTTCGAGAAACGCATCATCGAGCATCAACAAGCTCATTCCATTGTTCTTGGAAGGTCGTGCAAAGTCGAAATACGATCAAATCGAGGAAGCTGAGAAACGAAAATGACAGAGATAGTGAGCAGCCTTCACAATCAACTGCTCACGAACATAGACCTCGCAAAAGAAGAAACACAAGAGTTCCACCAACAACAGCATATCATAGTTACGGGCTTTGCAAAGCTAATTAAGAATAAGGCCGAGATAGCATACGGAGACTACCCCGCGGATGTGAGAGAGAAGATAGCCATCGACCTTTTCATCAGAAACAGCAATAAACATCGGATCGGAGCCAAGCTGAGAAGACCTCCACAGAAATCCAAAACACTAGAAGAAGCATCAAGAATTGCTGAAAGGGAACAACACCTAGGTCAAATGCTGGATCAAACATTACCGAGCTTCGGACGTCCACCGATGGAACAATCACGTCTCATGGATCACTGTTGGGAAGAAGATTCGGGATTACTGGTCACACTCAAAGCTATCCGCTGTTGACAGTATGCACAAAGAACAAAATCGACTAGCTGCGAAGACAACCCACGAGAGGAGAAAAGGAACTACGAGCAGCAATCGTTGCATCTTCGAGCCACTCTTGACGGCACAATTCGGACAGTTACCAATTTTTTTAAGGCGTCACATGTAGGTTCCCTCTTGAGCTCGTTAGACTTGCTCCAAAATTCAAATCTTTTCAGTGTTTCGAGCCAAATTTGTGCGTCTCAAGGGTCCGTTATTCGAGTCCCATACCGCTACATCAGGGATCTTCTATTACCTCTATATCTTCTGGCACTTTCGTCAACATTTTCAATACCAACAATCTTGCGAAAATCGGACACTACCCCATGGACAGTATTCAAGGTCACCAGAAGGAAGTCATCATCGTGTGCCTAACAAAGACCAACAAGGCATCATCAGACTTCGCCAGAGATGATCTACGTCTCAACGGGAACATCATCATAGGCGACCTTCCGGCCGGCAGAAGAGTCTAGCAGTGGAATCGCATTATCAGAGAGATCGAGTCGCCAGAATGACGCCTCGCGCTTCGTCACAATTTGATCAGCGGAGTCCGTTTCGTATTCTTCTGAAATACTAAATCCTTCAAAATAGAAATAAATGAGTTTTTCTTCAAATTGTTACCAACTCCAAATGAATGTATGAAAGTGAGATAAATAAAAGGGACGTCGCTCTACTACCATTCGGACCCTTTTACTGTATCAAAGTCCGCAATTCGACAAAATTACGTAAAAATGAACCAAAATTCTATTTCAATTTTTTAAATTTTGTTTTAGAGGTAAAAAATTGTTTCCGGTCTTCATTTTTCGAAAAATTCGAGTTCCACGAAAGTCTCGAACTGCAACGATCTCATATTTCAATTAATTCTTGCTATTCGACTGGGAAATGTTTTCAACAATATTAATTATTGTAGATTTTAAAGGCGCATCGGGAAAAATCCAGTATTCAGAATATTCAACGGAGGTCATTTAATTGCTCACAAATTATGGAAAAAATTTCCTGTCGACTGGTGTTATCCGCTATCTACGCAAACGTCTAAAAGTCTGGAATTTCAGAAGGAACGACCTCCCCAATTAGGATAGGATTCGCTTCATTCATTCATTCATCGATTTCTGAGGCAATTGGGTTCTTCGTCACATTTTTAATTTTTTAAAATTAATTGAAGAAAACGAAAATTTCCGTGTGGAACCGGCAAAAGTGGTCCCGAAAAAAAAAAGAAGATAAGGTTGTCTATTCGAATAAAACTCTTGGAAATTTTTGATTTTTCTAAATTTTTTCCTTTAAAAAATGAAAATCATTGAATTGAATTCAAGAGTTCGCTCATCTCAACCGCACTCTAATGCCGACAATCGACCGCGCGGAAAAATTTTGACCAAAATTGGCCTCGCAATAATGGGCCTACTCATGCAATGAAAAAAATTAAAAAAAAAATCAAGCACGTCGAAAATACAAAAAAAAAATTGACGCGATATATCGTAATCCTCCGCAATTGATTTTCAAAGGCGCACGTGAAAAGTTGGAGCGGGTCACGTCGCGAAGTCGGTACTGTATTTTTTAATGGCTGTTTTTTTTCGTTTTAAACGCTCAAAAAATAAAAATACAGGGTGTCATTTAAGTTCCCGCACAACTTTGAAGGCATATATTTCTGAAACTAAAAGTCCAAATCAAACGAGACTCGAAATATTTTTTATCTATAGTATAACAAATAATTATCTATTAACTCTTTTTGATTCGGTCTCCTTTCGCAGCTATGACTTCACGGAGACGCTTCGGGTAGGATGTGACTGTGGTACGCAGGTATTCGATGGAAAGATTGTCCCATTCCACCAGTAATGTCTTCTTCAGAGCCTCTATACTTGAGTGGGGTTTTGCGTTGACCTTCTCCTGCAAGAGCCCATCACGGAAAAGTCAAGCGGGTTCAGGTATGGGGAGAAATCAGGCCATTCGGATGACTTGATGAAGTCGGGAAAATGGGTCTGGCACCACTCCTGAGTAGATTGGCAGTGTGGGCGGGTGCTCCGTCCTGTTAAAAAACCTATTTCTGCCCACCGAAATGCGTTTTGGCCCAGGGTATCACATGCTTCTCCAAAATGTCCCGAACGTAGACTTCTTTGTTCACTTTCACCCCCTGATCCGCGAAAACCAGGGAGCACTTCCCGGTTGAGCAGATGGCACCGAAAACCATCACACTGGCAGGATGTGAGGCTGGATGATATGTTCTTCCTTTCTCAGAAGCTTGCTGGGATGTCTGGGCAAGTACTCGATGGTTTTGTGAGTTGAATGCCGCCTCCACAGTGAACAGCTTCTCATCGGAGAAGACAGTGACGAGGTGTTCTCCAGACCGCGTGCGAGCAAGAAGTCGTTTTGCTTTTTCGAAGCGTCTCTACTTGTTGGCGGCCGATAGAATTGCCGCTTTTTGGACACGATATGGGGTCAGTCCAAGCTTCGTTTTGACGATTTGTTCCAAAGCGAAAATGCTCATTCCCACGTCTGACGCCATCTTTCTCATGCTCCTGTGTGGGTTTCGCCTGATCTTCGATTTAACGGCGTTGAACTTCTGAGGAGTGGTTACCGAGACGAGTCTTCCTTATCTGGGACGGTCACTGGTCGTATTTAGTTCCTTGAAACGTTAGATGATGTCGTAAACCGTTCTAAGAGGCACACCGAGGCGTTGAATGATGTCTCTCAGGCTCACATTTTGCTTATGAAGTTCGATAATGGAAGCGCAATGGATGTTAGCCTTCGCCATTTCTCGGAAACACATCCGAATGAGGTAAAACTTGGAAAGTAAGTAAAATATACCTTATTTAACAAAAATAAATTGTATTGGTGCACGAAAAGTGCGACAGCCAAGCTCTTCATGGCGTCAAACTTTTGTGCGGGAACTTAAATGACACCCTGTACGTATCAAACATATGTTAAACTACAATTTATATTAAAGGCGCATGCAAACATTATTTAAAAACAAAATTGGATTATTTTTTTATTTTTTTCCCCGAGAAATAATTGCGACTGACTCATTCATTCCTTTAATTAATTAATTGAAGGTATGATGATTTTCCCACATTTATTTTCACGAAAAATAGCATTCGATTGATCTGATCGGGTTTTCGGATATTTTTGAATCCGATTTGTATTAGTTCGAATCAGATTTTATTTGAAAAAATAAAAAATCCAAACTAATAAGAAATTTGGCAATCTTATCCGCAGAATTGTTTCAAACCTGTACCGTGTTGATTCCGGAGTCGGACCGGTTTGGTTTTGAGTTGCCATCAAAAACCGGCTAGCTCACTTTTGCGCCCTATTGAACACCTGTCCCCCATCCCCCTTCATCACTGCCTATTGAGTGTCTCGCCATCTCGCCTTAAATTTCATGAGCCGCTTGCTCATTTCTCGATGAATTTCGAGTTCGACTTCACCGCCGCTCATCACGCGTGCTCCGCCAATGAGCACGATCCGCATATAACCAAGGTAGATTCAAGTTTTTTGGTTCTTCCCAGAAATATTCGATTTCAGAACATGATGGAGCTGGTGAGATTCATTGGCAGATTCCCGCAATGGAGTCGACTTCCAAAGCTCGCCCAGATCAACGTTGTGAATTTTCTCGATTATGAATCGCGGTATGCGCCTTGAAATAACTCGATTCCATACTTTTTTCTTTTATCTATAGATTGCAGCTCGCGATTTGCTCGAGGAGCACGTATTCGGTGGTGAAGATGTCTCCGATTTCCATCAGATTGCTCGAGATTCATTGCGCGCCGGGCGAAAACGGAAAAGTTGGTTGACATCGGAACACGACTAAAATGAGCACAATTTTGCAGATGGGCGAGGCGTTTGTTCGCGCGAAATTCTCGAAGCATCGCGCGCGCGCTCCGAAGGGATTCATCGCGACGTTCGTCGAGAAGCGCGACGGCGAGACGGAGATGAAGTTTGACGGCGACCGCGTCGAGTTGCGAACCGTCAACTACGCCGACGAGGCCGTCAAGGTTTTCGAGCGAATGGCGAAACTTGCCGGATTGCGAGTCGATCTCCTCGAAATCGACATGGTAATTTGAAGTGGGCAATTAAATGGTAATTAGCAAATTGAAGCCAGAGTCGCTCTTGACAAACTGCTCGATTTTGAAGCGACTCGACGTGAAACAACTACGCCTGAAAAACAGAGAGGATAAGGAGCATTTGAGGAAAACGCTGGATTTGTTCGGTTTGGATAATAAGGGCATTCGAATTCGCGGCGGAATTGAGCATCTGACCCCTCAGCTTTTGTTCCATCCTCAAGTAACCTGAGAAATTCATTAAAATTCAACTAAGCGAATAGTTTAGATCCAAAACGCGGATTCAATTGAGATCGAGGACCAGTGCAAGTTCACTGATGAGGCGTTTTTGGGATTGAACGGAAGGAACATCATGATTTCGACGAATGGGGTCTCCGATTCATGCCTGAACAAATTTATAAAAGTATTTAAAAAATTCGGGGCGGCAACATTTTGACGAAACAACTTACAGAGATGGATGGTTGGTGGCGGGCCGAATGATTTCGAGTCGCTGACACTCCACCCACACCGATTGATGGTGAAAGACAAGATCTTGGCGAACATTCCGAATACGGCTGAAAATTTCACGGAAACTTATTCGGTGAAGCAGCTTCACGGCCAACGGACCGCAGTGATCCATATCAGTGATTATCTCTTCCTAATTAATATCAATTGAAACGTTGCATATTGATTTTGTTTTATTTTTTGGAAAATTTTGGCTTGTGAATAAACAAAAATAGTTTGAATGACAATTGAATAAGAAAAGAAGTTTTCTTTCATTTTTTCAAGCGGATTATAGTGTTTTTGCGTGGATTTCAATTTCTCATTTGCCGCTATTCACCAAATCCCTTTCAGTTTTGAACAATAATACCTTTTTCATCCGCGCTTCGCACATATCCACATCGATTCGTTTCGCGGCGAGACCTTGGATTTGATTTTGTGCGGCTTCGTTTCGTAGTTATTCGGCTTCTATTATTATTATTATTATTATTATCACTGAATTGAGCATGCCGACGACACACAAGAAACGGCTTCTGGCCTCGCGCAAAAGCGTATCAGTTGATTTACTTCCGCAACATTATGAATATGAGAATGAGTATGAGAAATGGAAAAAGACACAGCCGGAAATTAAGTAAGTCTATGTTTGGCTAAATGAGTAAATTTTATTGAAAAAAAGTTTCCGATGTAAATTCGGTTACAAAAATCCTACAAATTTTCTACAAGTCATGAAATGTAAATTTTTACCAAAAATGTATTTGCTTTTTTTGCGTTAGAAAAATGCGTAAATTTTTAAATTTTTTATTGCATAAATAATTCAATTAGTAAAAAAAAACTATTCTATAGAGAAGATTATACGAAACATTATGAAAAAAAAAGCGAAAAAATTAATCAATAAACGATAACCTGCAACTTTATGCCAAGATGATTGCAGATTCCCTTTGCTACAGTACAAGTTGAAATTATTCATCATTTTTTTTAACTCTCACATTTGCAGTAATTTTTCCCTTTTTTTCCACAAACTATTCAAGTTAAAAACTATATTATAATCAAATCACATTGTAAAAAATCCCACAATTTCTTCGTCTATTGTTTTGAAATTTCAGGCTTGAGCTCTCAATCGACGAATTTGGAGTAATCTATTGGATTTGGTCGTTTTCAGTGGTTCTCGGATGCCTTTACAACATCCTTATTCTATCAGTATTAGCATTTGAAGATGTACGGGATTCTTATTTGGATCAATGGGTTCCTGTCAATTTCTATTTCGATCTCGTCTTCCTTTTCGATATCGTCGTCCGCTCAATGTTAAGTAAGTATGAATTCGCGATGTAAGAATTCGAATAAAATTTCCAGATTTTTACGATCAAGGGGTTTTGGTTACCGAATATGTGGAAACCAGCAAGAAGTATTTTAAAAGGTCGAAAAGCTAAATTTTTGCGAAATTCAAAAATTTTAATTGTTTTCAGTATTTATGCAATTGTCGATTTTCTCGCAATCGTCCCATTTGATCTGCTAGTCATTCGCAAGACATCGTCAGCATTCTGCAGGTGGTTCATCAGCAATTTCATTGATTCAATTTCAATAATATTCAGATTAAATCGCTTGCTGAAATTATACAGAATTCGAAATTTTGTCGAACTCTCGTATGGAAAATTATCGCAAGTTACAATCTCATTGACACAAATTATCGCCTTCTGCTTTCTGCTTTTCCATTGCAACGCATGCGTATTTTATATCATATCGGTTAATAGTGATTTGGCAAATTGGAAAGGTATTATTACATCGGAAAATGTTGGTTTAAAAAAATTGAATTGAAATTCAAAGGCTTAAACGCAACATTCGACGATGATGAATTGCTCCCATGGCCATATATGGCTGAGAAAATCACCGATGCCTATTTGATTGGCTGCGACGGCCAAGACCATTGCTACAACGAGGATTTCTATTTTGACGAGGAACGCGAGCAGCACCTCATCGAGCTTTACCATCATTGGATGAGTGAGAATAGGTTGAATTTATTTGAAAATATTGCCGAGTACGGCTTATTTTTCAGGACAATGCGTATCAAATTTTCGAAATTTACTAAAGAGTATACGGTTTCGATGTATTGGTCAGCGATGACGATGACGACGTTAGGCGAGCAGGTGAGCCCGTCGTTGAAGGTTTCTTGAGCGACGAGCACTTTCAGCCATCACCGGACACATCGCTTCAAAATCTTTTCGAGGTTCTCAACACGATTGCCGGATTGCTGCTGTTCGCCGTCATCATGGGAAGTGTTGGTGATCTTGTGGCGAACGCGAACAAGGTGAAAACCTATTGGCAGACGTTGATGGATGGTTTGAAGCAGTATATGACTTATAGGTATTGAATTACTAGCAATTTAATTGATATTGCGCTTCTCTAGAAATTTGAATATGGAGCTGCAGAATAAAGTGCTCAAATTCTGCGAGTATGAAATGGCCGAGGAGACGATATTAAAGGAGCATGAGGTGCGCGATGAGTTGCCAACAAAACTTTATGGTCACGTGACGAAATCGATTATCGGCAATTCGTTGGTGAACTCGCCGATTTTTCAAATATCGGAGCGATGTTTCCTCAATGAGATCAGCGAGCTCCTCGAGCCGCATTACTTCAGCCCCGGCGACGTTGTTGTCGAGAAGGGCCAACTTTGTACGGTAGGAATTGGGTCTTGAAGCGATTCATTGAGAAATTCAATCATTTCAGTCGATGTTCATCATTGTTAGCGGAAAAATGATCGAAGTGAAAGGCGATGAGCGAATTGAGCATGTCGAAGGCGAGGTGCTCTGCGATGCGAATTTGTTCTGGTTTGAGAACCACATTGACAATAATCGGCACCTTCATAATATTATAGCAACCGCATTTTCGCAGGTTTTCGAAAAAAAATCATTTTTTTAAAGGGTCAATGCAGAAAAAAAAACGAAGAATTGAAGTTTTCTCTGCACTGCCCTATAAATGCAAAAGAGACATTTTAAATTTTTTAGGTCCATATTTTGAATCGAGATGATTTTTTCAAGGTTTTAGAGGCCTATGACGTCAGCTTGAAGCGGAGACTCTGCGATGCTGGTGAGAACTCGCTTCTTATTAATTAAAGCGATTGGCTGCAATTAGATCGTTGCAAAAAAATGCAGGTTTTTAAAAACGCTACATTTTACAGTAGCAAATTTTAAATATTATTTATAAGCTTATATAATGCTCTTTTCAAATTTTTTTCTAAAATATTCCATAATTCTTTTTTTTTTTGACAAATTTCGAAAAGTGCATTTCGTTTTGCAATAATTGAATATGTTTCAGCGTATCGAATTCAAAAAGGACGCGGCGAATTGAATAATCGACCGAAGAAGATGATCGAGGCGGAAGATATTGAATCGAACTTCAAACGCCTCGCCGCCATCACGTTGGACATCGAACGCAATCTGACGGCGCTAGAGAAGCAAATTCTGGTGAGAGACATCGGGCTGCACAGATGTGTACGCACTTGTCGCCTATCTACTGTGATGCACGGGTGGCGCAGGCGGTTGAATTCGCGCTCGGCAGCGATTTGAGCGCGCGGGTTCGAAACCGCGTGCCCAAAAACCAAGAGTCCATGATTATACCATTTCTACTGTTCACGTACCGATTGTCTAGTGGTGGAGAATCCTTCGATGAGACTACTTTTTCCAGATTTTTACCCAATCTACGAAACGACGAGTTTACATTGCTGAACGGAACATGTGTAGCCTTCTACGAAATAAAGATTTATTATGACTATTGATGTTTCTTATTTTTTTTTTCTTAGAATTGGACCTCTAATTAGAACCCGTATATGGAATTGGTCATGGAAATTTGGATGTTAGTTCTTGTGGAATGTGAAATAGGGCCATTGAGATCTTTGGAACCACGCGGGCTTCTCATCGAAGAAATTTGAGCAATCCAGAGTGTAAACTGTGAGATTATAATAGGGAATTCTGGAATTTTCGCATTATTTCAATGAGATTGTTGGGAAAAATACCCAAAATTGTCCCTGTATACATTGATATCTTTGATGAAATCGAATTTTGTCACATCGCCATCCTTATTCTCGATTTCTTCGCCTTCATAGAACTCTCCGCGTCTTAAACGGACCTGAAAATTTTTTTTTAAATTTTTTGTTTTGAAAAAAATTTAACCTGGGCGTATCGAATTTTCGAGTTTTTGCCAAGATTCTCAAACTCGCAGCACATCATCTGAAGCTCGTCGTCAACTGTTTTTTCGATGGCCCCGACTAGCTCGTTGGGACCTGGACATCCGCGTCGGAATTCTGGACGCTCTGGGCATTCCTGTAAAAATTTGGGACTGGTAGATTGTCCGCAGATGCAAATTATATTTTAGAAAAAATCTTACCAAGAATTTTTTATCCATACAGTTCGGTTTTGAGCATATTAATCCAACCATTCCGCTATGACGAACCTTAAAGGGAGATGGTAAAGGGACCATTATAAAATCCGAACCTCGAAGCCAATCGCGAACGCATTTGTACCGCAATAATCGGAAAAAGCGAATTGTATAAAACAAATTAAAGCGGCGAGGATGATCGACAACATGTTTGAACAAATGCCGGATGAAATATGAAGACAAAAAAAATGCGTCGCACAAAAAAATGCGGGAGAAAAAAGAATTGGAAGGGAATCGAAAATAATCAGCGAATTTTTGTCGTCGGCGACTTCGTTGAGGTTGTGTTGCATCACAACCGGTTTACTGTATGTGGGGAAAGAAGATGAGAGAGGATGGCATAGAGATAAGAATAGCCGCAAAAAAATGAACAGTATTTTTCGGGAAAAAAATAATAATTGAATTTGCGATGCGAAGACAAATCTTGAATTTCGCAGGTTATCTTCTAAATAAGCTCATAAACATTTTTTTTAAATAACCAAACAATTAAATCAAAATTTCGGCAAAAAAAAATGAAAAGAAATTTCATGCTAAAAAAATGTCGAAAATTTTTATAAATATCGTAATTAATCAAATTTCAAAGGCGCATGCAAAAAGTGGCGTAGGTCTCGAAGCGTTTTGCTCATGTTACTGTAGATTTACTTCAAGTTTTCCAGTTATTTGAAATATTGGGGGAAAATTTTTTGCGTTATATGCAATCTCAGTTATTTTATTTAAATAGTCATGTGAAATTCGAAAATGTTTCTGATTTATCGTTAATTTCGAAGTTTTTTTAAAGTTTTTAATTGCTATAATTGCCCTTTCTCGTCGCCTGTTTCATTTCAACGAATTCATTGATATCAATTCATTATATCATGAAGCAATTTAAAATGACTGACGTTGAAAATCATTGTTGATCGAATTTTGAATAATTTCCTGAATTTTTCCCTTCAAATTCCAATATTCGTCGCTATTTTTAAATGGAATCTTTTATTATAGCAATGAAATAAGCAATTATTTTCGAAATTTTAATAAATTGTCTCATTATGTTGAAAATGCAACATTCGATTCGGAAAGCGCGATGAGTTTTTGAATTGCTGCCAACTGTATGGGTGAAATCGCGCTCTATTGAAAAACCGCTTCGCAGCGACTTCGATACGCAGGCAAAAATTCGAAAGAGAGATTTTCGGCCGGTTTTGCCACTTTTTCCACCCAGTGAGGCTGGTATACATCGCTAAAAATGCCACCAAAGTTCGACCCAACTGAGATTAAAATTGGTAAGTGCTTTTTTAGAATTGAAAAATTCGTTACTTGTAAAAATTCAATTATTTTGCTGCAAGAATTGCATTCTTAAAATATTTCATCATCATTTTTTTATTTCAGTCTACCTTCGTTGTGTTGGAGGAGAAGTTGGAGCCACTTCCGCTCTCGCCCCAAAGGTCGGACCGCTGGGATTGTCGCCAAAGAAGATTGGAGAAGACATCGCTAAGGCCACCCAGGACTGGAAGGGCCTTAAGGTCACTTGCAAGCTCACCATTCAGAACCGTGTTGCTAAAATTGATGTCGTCCCATCCGCTGCTTCGCTCATCGTTAAGGAGCTCAAGGAGCCACCACGTGACCGCAAGAAGGTTAAGAACGGTACGCATTTTATGCGTTGGGTCGGGAGGCGATATACTCTCATCCCCTGGTCTTTCATTTCTTGATTTTTTGTGAATTTCACGATTTAAAGACTGGTAATTCCGTTAGAGACTTTCTGAAGCCGTGAGTTTAGTTTTTGGTTGGGTGCTTTGTGTCGTGTCTTTCGAAAAAAATTTAGATAACTAACTATTGCCGACTTGATTGCACGTTTTCGTTTCAGTGAAACATAATGGAGACTTGACGATTGACACCATCATAAAGATTGCTAGAATCATGAGACCACGCTCAATGGCAAAGAAGCTCGAAGGAACCGTCAAGGAGATCCTCGGTAATAAAAATTAATAAGTTAAATAACGAATTTGATTGTTTTCAGGAACCGCTCAATCGGTTGGATGCACCATTGACGGACAGCACCCACACGATGTAATTGAATCCATCGCCAACGGAGAAGTTGAGATCCCGTCCGAGTGATCGCAATCTTGTTATTGTTGTTTAAATAAATAATTGTTATAATTATCTGTATCTGATTCAAATAATAAAAGCTCTCAAACCTGATTTGACCGTCGGAGTCGCAAGAAGTTGACTAAAACGATGATGTTAGAAAACTGGGTTCAACATTCTTTGGAACTTCTGGTGTCAGATGAATGATGAGGCAACGGCCATTTATTCTATTCATAAGCGCGCTTGTCAGCACGTCTTCAGGGACATGAAGAGACGAAGCGCCGTCTTTTTTTTGGGTTTGTACCAAACAAGAATAACAAACCAGCAGTTTGATTCGACAAGTCTTCCTCATCAATAATGGCGAGTGTTTCAGCGGCAATGCTCGTTTGTCGCCTTCAACAACAAATCATGTCCCCGCCCAATTTACCGATTCTCTTCGCACTCGTCGTATCTTCTTTCTTCTTCATCATTTTCTTTTTGCCGTAATTATTGGAATTTCAATGAACTTTCTGGAAAAACTATGAAAATTCGGTTGACTGGTTGAAGAAGAACCGAAAATCAAAAAATTCTGTTTTTTTTGGGTTTCTCATTGACTTTGACTTCCTCTCGTGTGTTTGTTAGCGATAAAAATCGCTGAATCGGTCATTGTATATCGTAAAACGCGATACGACCCGGGTCGTTCGGGTTGTTTGCCTCGCGCATCACATGCGCCTTTAAACAGACTCCATGTAGGCATATTCGATTTCTATTCGCACGACGACAAAATGGATGTTCGCGGTAAGACGATTGTCGCCGAGCACGTGTGGCTCGACGGTCGCGTTCAAGAGCACATCGCGATCAGCGTCGACGCGAGCGGTGTGATTCGAGCGATCGGCGAGATGCCGAATGGCGAAGAAGTGATCAAGACGGCGAATCTGCTGGTGCCGGGCTTCGTCAACACGCACTCGCACGCGTTCCATCGGTTTTTGAGGGGCAAATCGGAAATCGGCAAATCGGCGGCCGACACGTTTTGGAAATGGCGCGACAACATGTATGGTCTTGTGGCAGAAGTCGACAAGCACCGAATTTATGAGGTACCACATTTTTCGCTGCGAGACCCTGATAGTGTAATTGGTTATATTTTTAGTATTGCCTGACGACATTTAAGGAGATGCTGAATGCTGGAATCACCACGGTCGGCGAGTTTCACTACGTCCATCATTCCGATAATAAGTAAGACATTTCGGATTCGAATTGTTTAGAATTTCAAAAAATTATATTTTATTTGCTAGGTGACACGCAAAATTGCGTACTTTGCATTATAGCCTACGCGCATTCAAAAATTATTAGTTCTTTTTTGGCACAAGACGCATTTCATACTTATGCGCCTTTAAAAATAATTTTAGAAAATTGAAAAGTTAAAAAAGAAAGAGGTTTGGGTGATTTTTCTAAATTCGAAAATTCAATTTTTTTCTAGCATACGGTAATATTGAAGGCGCGCGTTGATTTTGAATCCTTCAATACATTAATTTAAAGGGACATTTAAAGGTTCGACTTGGATGAATCAGTGATTCAGGCAGCGATCGACGCGGGAATTCGAATCGTCCTTCTTCAGGTTGAGTGTGACGTGACGGCGTCCAAACCGATTCTCATTTGCAGACATTATACGAGCGCGCGGGATTCGACAACGCCGAGCTTCATCCGGTCCAGAATCGATTCGTCTCATCCTATCAAGAGTTTATCGAGAATCTCAAGAAGCTTCGCAAGTCGACGACGCATGAGCGCGTTCGAATCGGCGTCGCCGCGCATTCGGCGCGCGCCGTGCCGTTTGAGAACATCAAGAAGCTGTTCGATTACGCGACCGCCGAGCAAATCCCGTTTCACATTCATTTGGAGGAGCAGCCGAAAGAGATTGTCGATTGCCAGAAGAGTCTCGCGAGCAAGAAGGTTCCCCATATTTCAGCTTCATCTTCCTTTGACTATATGGCTTCCAGGGTCCCAGCGATGTGCTTCTTGCCGACATTGGCATCAATGAGTACTTCACCGCGGTGCACGCCACTTATACACCAGCCGCCAATATGGTGCAATTCGCCAAACTTGGCGGAAACGTGTCGATTTGCCCGTGCACTGAAGGCTATTTGGGCGATGGGATACCGCGAATCAACGAGGAATTGAGCATCAGCTTCGGAACCGATTGCAACAATCGCATAAGCTTTCTTGAAGAGATGCGATGGGCTTGCTATTCGCAACAAGTCTCGCCGCGATCCACTAGACGCTGGTGTAATTTCGCGGTTTAGATGCTTCACAACTCGCGCAGTGTTTGCGGACTTTCGGCCGAGAAGCTGCTCAATTGTGCTACCATCAATGGGGCGAAAAGCCTCAATATTGGCGATCAAGTTGGCACCTTTGAGGTTTTTCCTCTGCAATTCGACTTTTTTTTTTTGGCATTTTGTATCGATTTTCAGATCGGCAAATATTTCGACGCTGTCGTTTTTGACAGCTCAACGTCTCCAGCGTTGAGCACGAGCCGTTCGGAGACTCTCATCGATTCCCTAGTGTTCTCATGCGGAAATCGCGAAATTTCCAATGTTTTTGTCGCTGGAGTTGATCCAAGAACCAATTGAATTCAGTGGTGCTCCAAATCATTTTGATTTTTCGCAGAAATAAAATTTTGAATATTCATGTTTGGTACGATATGCAAAATGTCCGCAATATTGCGTCGCTTGCTGCGGACCGCAATTTTTCGCAATTATTTTTTGACTCATTTTTTTCGTTCTTTTTCAATAAATTTCTTATTTCCTGTTGAATTTAATTGTTTTATTTTTTTAGAAATACTTTTATTGAATATTTAAATTAATAAATTAATATGTACTTAACAAGACATGTAAAATTAATGAGGAAATATTGATATTGCACGTTTTGGTCTCCACACGAAACTCGTTTTTTTTCCAACGCCATTTGAATATTGAAAAAAAATCAATTGAAAACATAAAACGCATCCTAATTGAAACAAATACCATGAGATCAAATGGATAATTTAAGTAAAGTGCTGCAGCCTTGGAGGGACCCTGGGAGGCGAGTGACAGGTGCTGTAGGCGCCCGATGAGTTTGAGTAGAGGCTTCTCGTCTCAGCGTCGCGCACTCGCAAACATTTGTTGTAGAAAAACGCGGCGGCGGCGATTTGGGCGAGAACGAGAACGACGACGAGAATCACGACGAGCTCGACGCGATTCTTCGACACGCAAAAACTCGACGAGTTTGTGAAGAATTCTGCAAGAAAAAATATGAGGTTGGCGAAAAAATTGTTTTTTTTTTTCAATGATTTTTTACCGGGACGCGGTTTTTCCAATTTTCTCTCGGCCTCATCAATAATGGTGAGCGTTCCGGCGACAATGCTCCTTTGTCTTCGGCTCGCCTACAACAACAACAACAAATCATTTGACGGGCGGCGCGCGATTTACCGATTTTCTCAGCCATTTCTCCACACTCGTCGTATCTCTTTTCTTCTTTTTTCCGTAGCTATCCACATTGCGAACGTCTAGATCATCACAGAGTACCTGAAAATTTCTGGGATTGTCTAGCAGGGAGCGAAACAAAAAATCCATCGTATACTTGATTAATTGATTGGATTGTCGCATTTTAAACACCGTTTAAAATCAAATTTGAATTGCCGCTTTGAAACAAAAATGCGATGGTCCACAATTAGTCAATGCGCTCGTTTTTATTTTTTTTATTTTTTTGCGATTTTAATATGATTTTGAGTTTGCCTCGTAATGGTCTCGAGCGGACACACTGAACATTTTGCATTTAGGTTCGATAATTGCCATTGGAAATTTAAGGAAGCCAAAAAATAAGCAATAAGCGTTCACGCGTGGCGAGACCCTTGTTCAAGGCGCACCCCGTAAATCTAGTCGCCAAACATCAATCACATTTTGAGAAAGAGAGAGAGAGAGATAAAAAATTGAACACTGTTTTTTTTTTCTGGAAATTGCCCTACTCTGGAATACCAACCGGTGGGCACTTTTCAACGCAGACATCGATGGTGCACTTGATTCGGACCCTTCGCGAGCCGTCGAATCGAAACACCTTCATCTTTGTCGAATAGACACCATTGTGCTCCGTTATTGGGTCGCTTAATAGGCGATTGCGGACCTTCTCTTCGGGACATCTAGAGATTATGATTGTCATTAGACCCAAAAAGAATAGTGGGGTTCCCAATTGAAAGAAAAGCGACTTTCGCTGCGAGACCTTACAGTCAAGTTGATATAAAGAATTTCGAGCAGAGCCGCTTTTCCTTCGGGGAAAAAATGCTCATAAATACCCCTGATAGATAATTTTGAGAGGCTCCGGATGGGGCGATTCGCCACCAACGCGCTCTGCGATACAGTCATTGATGAAAAAGCCGAAATTGGACGATTGATTGATTACTGAACACGTTGATATTCAATGGAGAGAATTGCTGACGAACCTGTCCATCGGAGGATGACTTCGGCTCCCAGCGGCACCGTCGTCACCGCTCGGCCGTTCCTCACAATTTCCATCAGAATCCTCTCGCTCGTCTCGTCTTCGATGCCGTCGCCTTTTGGACGCAACGCCGCCAATTGGTGTTTGTCGAGAATTTTCGTGTAGTCGCATGTCACGTGGAACGTCTTGTCTTTCGTCGTGATCAACGACGGCGATCGCATTTCGTTGCGCTCGACGACCACCTCGAACATCCATTTCGCCGGCTCCTGGAAACGCAACGATTAAACGGACGATGGTTGGGGAAGCGAGTGGGTACGGTTTGGGTGCCGCCGCAACGCGGATTCGCGTCGTCCTCACGGGGAAGCGGAATGTGGAGGTCGGCGGATGTCGAATTGTCGAATTCTGAATGGCACGTCGAAAAATGGTCCTAAACAGAATTCCGGCATTTATTCCAACCACCTCCTTGAGCATCTATACTTTGATATAAATGGTGCCTGACGTTGGAGCGCTGAAGCTTATTGAAACGGTGATTCCAGACATTCGGCATTCTGTCGATAAATGCGCTTTTACTCGGGCTTCTGAAGGCTCTTCTGATGATGACGTCACTTTGTTGAACTCATCGGCGTCGTCAATAACAGTTTCTGGAATTGAGCGTAAAATTATTGACTCCATTAAAATGGTCTTATTACGCTCGACTTCGGTTAGTGTTTCCATTCGACTCTCATCTCCATGAATCGCATTCAACGCTTCGAGATCCTTCACGTCTTCGGATGGATCCGACGTCGACACTTCGAAGTTTGTTGCTCCTTGAGCAACAGTCCTGTAAAATAATTTGAAAATTGAGAAAAAAAAAGAAAAATGATGCTGCCTAAACTACTGTAGCATGAATTGTGTGCAAACACCGTGACGCAAGTTGTCACACCTAACGAAATGTCGATTTTTTAAAACTTAAAAATTCCAAAATTTCGCAACTTCCAGCCGCACCTTTCATTAGTAGCATTCAAAAGGTTATCATCTTTCGATTCATTGATTTCAACAAGCTTCGGAAGATCGATGGCCTTCGGATCGGTTGGATCGCAAATTTTGTCAAAGTAATCGGTAAAGTTTGCAGTGACGAATTGATCAGGCCGCGAGAATTGCGAGCTGTCCGATAATTGGCACTCATCCTGCAAATTTAAAAAGTGCTCGAGATGAAGCTTCTGTTGTCACGTCGAGGTAGAAGTAGGTGACGCTGGCGCAACGCGCGCCGTCTCGCATACACTGAGCCAGGCATTCGTGCTGCGATTGAGCTGATACGGTTCGATAGTTGAGCATCATCATTCGATTGGCGACGAGCTCGAAGCTCGCTTCAATGCATTGAAGATTTGCTAAAAATTGGGTAATTATTTTTTTTCGAATAAAAAGGGAAATCCTATGTACTTTTTAGGCAGTATTTTTCGAAATACTCTCCGCTCGACAACGGCGCAAGATTGAACGTCTTATCCCCTTCTGAAATTGACTTTCAACCTTCAAAACGTTCGCTGATACTCACTATGCCCAATATAGGACGATTCAGCAGTCAAGTGGCATTCTTGTTTGGAGTTGCTGTAGGCAAACGCTTTGCACGGGAAATGCTCCTCGCCGATTTTGTTGGCCTCAATAATTAATTGGTCAGCTAATTAATTTATTAACACTAATTACCTGGCATAGTTGGTTGCATTGCTGAGCATCGGAGCTTTCAACGATCACATCCTTAGCTTCATCTATTGAATATTCTTCAGTTCTCACCCAATGCAAGGTGCTTCCCGATGAGCAGCTGACTAGAAAATCAATTTTTTGCGATTTTTCACAATGTTTTTAATTGAAAGCTAGCCCAAAAAAAAGTTTTATTGGTAGTTTTTTTCGACACTCACTGTCGGCGCAATTATTCTCGAAATAATCGACGAGTGTGTCGGCGACGCCGGTTCGAAACAATTTCGGATGAATGAACTTCGAATCGCGATTCATAATGCATTCGCCGGTCTCGTAGTAATATATAACCGATTTGCACAAAAAATTGAATTGCTCATGAGCTAATAAGCATTTCGAAAGGCACACGGAGAGGCCGTCGACGGTTTCGACCTTCATTGCATGCCCAATTAGGATACTTTGCGGGTATCTTTCGAATGAATATGGCGCTTCGCATAGGGCTTCTTCTGAATATTCATTAAATTCATATTTCTTCTTTTTCCAAAATTTTTTCTTACCTAGAAGACATATTTGCTGAAAAAATGAAATTGTCTGCGAAGCTTTTGCTAGTACTGAGGCTCCGAATGGCTGCCCGTCGTCTGAATGTTGCGAGCATTGCAGAGTTGAGCTGTCATATTCAAATGATAAACATTCGTCTGTCTGCATATGGGGACCATATGGTTTTCGGTTTAAAAATTTTTCGCCTTACTCCATCATTTTTTGAGCACGAGTTTGCGCATTCGTTGAGTGTCACGTCTTTTAGCACTTTTGTGGAGAATTCCATTAATCGTGTTCCTTCAGATCGGAGGTAGGTTGTGGCGTTTGGCGTCGAACATCGCGAGACTCCTGAATTATTTTTTTTTCTTCAAAAAGTACTGTACACAAAGGGTCTGCAATTTTGCGTGACGTGGTGCACACGCGTAATGCGCATTTGAAATTTCATTTCTTTTTTTTTTCGAAGTTCATTTCATTTTAACTCGAACTTTTTCGTTTTCACGTAATTTTTACATAAAAATTTCCAGAGAATAATTAAAATTCCTCCTTTTGCGTAAATCTGTACGCTAATAACTTAAATTTGAGCGTTCAGAGTTAATGTGACAGTTCGGGCGAATTCGCTCAGTAATTACTGCGTTTTTGCTTTCCCTTTGGCTATTTCATGAAGGCTAAATATACAATTTGTTGCAAATTTTCAAGATTTAATCCAAAAATGGATAAATATTGAAGAGGAAATGCGATTAAATATAAATAGGAAATTTCCTTGTTGATGTTTGACACCTGCATAACATAAAAATGCTGGAAATTCAAGAATCTTCTTAATATTTAAAAGCATTTCTAACATGGTTTACCTTGTAGTACTGGAACTAAAAAACCGAGTAAGCTAATAATAAGCATAAGAAGTTGAATCGAAATCTGAAGGTGAAATGTTAGCCAAAGTGAAAATGGTGACCTGGTTCGCCAACGGTTAGACTTCTTCTACGTTCAAGAAGCCGTCCGTCAGCTAATAACCCGCCGGATAATTAGATGTCCGGCCGTCCGGGTGGCGCGCGCCCGCTCGGAATACCTGCCCCCACGCGGAACATATTTAAGTTATAATGTGTTTTCTGTGCGGTTTCGAAAGCACGTTTGAGACGGATTCTAGTTTGGTGAAGGTAGTGAAGATATTTTGGCGAATATGCAGATATTCGGATTTGTATAATAGCTTATACAAGTACTCATAAGTATTATTGGGTTGTCGAACGAGTAGATGACGGCGATGAAGCAAAATGTATAGTTTTAATAGAAAGTTCCATTTTTTTCCAATGAATGGTTTTTGAAAAAGTTGTTGAAAGAAAAATCAAATGCAAAAGTTTAATTTTTCCGAATTCCTATTAATGCATTCATTTTATATTTCCAAATATTGTCGGGCAAGCGACCTAACATTTTTGCAGAAAAATCGGATGATTTCTCGAATTTTTTTGTTTTCCCTACATTTTTCATTTTTTTTTTAGGATTATCATGCAATTCGGTTTTTTTTTCAACGATCACTTTCATCGTCAAAGTTCCACATGTTTAGTGCAACGTGTCGTTATTGCGAAATATCGATTTTTGCTATAAATTTAGCGTTTTTTACTATATCAGAATTTTCATTTCCATAATTTTTTGTCCAAAGAAAATCTTCAACAACAACAAAAAAATGTTTTTTGCGCGCGATTGTCCTCATTTCCACTCGAATTCCACGATTTCAAATCGTTGTTCGCCGGGGCCGCATTTTGCGAAAAGGCGCACACCGTTGTGCGGTGTGGTCTCGCCGCGAAACGTTCCTTTCTGAGTTGGCGACGAGAGTGTCTCCGCATTTCGCGTTATCTCTCGTGCCAACTTGATTTTATATACACACACACATTTTTTTTTGGATTTTTGCCGTGAAAATCTTCGATGTTTTGGTTTTTGTTTCGAAAAAAGAAATGCACGAATTTCAGGCAAAATTGTGTGATGCCGCTTAGACTTGATGTAAAAAGAAAGCTGCTCGCTCGCTCGGATCGCGTCAAATGCGTCGATTTGCATCCGACGGAGCCGTGGCTTCTCGCGGCACTCTACAATGGAAATGTGCACATTTGGAATTATGAGACGCAACAGCTCGTCAAATCATTCGAGGTTCGATTTTTGTGAAAATTGATAGAAATTCAACAAGGTTGAGGGCGATATTTTTTTTTGGCAAAAATAGGCCTCGTAATTCTAAAATAGAAAAATTTTAAATTCTTTGACTTCTCTTGGTAATTGATCCTTTGGAATTTTAAAATATCGGATTTTTGTTTGAGTGCCACGTTTCAATTTTTGCAGTTTTTCATCGAAAACGAATCTTGAGAGAATTGAGCATTTCTTTTTTTTTTGTAGGTTTGCGATGTGCCCGTCCGCGCCGCCAAATTCATACCGAGAAAATCGTGGATCGTAACCGGATCCGACGACATGCACGTTCGAATTTTCAACTACAACACATTGGAGCGTGTTCATCAGTTTGAAGCGCACTCCGATTACTTGAGGTTGGCACATTCGCGTTTTGAAATTCATTTTTTTTAAATGTTCCCAATTTCTAGATCAATCGTTGTCCATCCGACGCAATCCTTCATCATCACATCAAGTGACGATATGATTGTGAAATTGTGGGATTGGGACAACAAATGGACGATGAAGCAGGCGTTTGAAGGTGATTTTCATAATGTTTTTCGTATTGTTTGACGAATATTTGCGTATTTTTGTAGGCCACACACATTATGTCATGCAAATCGCGATCAATCCGAAGGACAATAACACGTTTGCGACGGCGTCACTCGACAAAACCGTCAAAGTTTGGCAATTTGGAAGTAATCAGCCGAATTTCACGTTGGAAGGCCACGAGAAGGGGGTAATTGCGTTGGGGGATTTGGGCAAAACTCGTAAAATTTCCAATTTTTCAGGTGAATTGCGTTGATTATTATCACGGCGGTGAGAAGCCGTACATCATTTCGGGTGCTGATGATCATCTCGTCAAGATTTGGGATTATCAGAACAAGACTTGCGTTCAGACGTTGGATGGACACTCGCAGAATGTCTCGTCGGTTTTCTTCCATCCGGAATTGCCGCTGATCATCACCGGAAGCGAGGACTCGACGGTTCGATTGTGGCATGCCAACACTTATCGGTAGATTGATTTTGGCGTTTTTTTTTGTGTTTTGAAATTTGACACCACATATTTAGGCTTGAAACAACACTTAACTATGGATTGGAGCGCGTTTGGTGTATTCAGGCGCAGAAGGGTTCGAATACGGTGGCGATCGGCTATGACGAAGGATCGGTGACACTGAAATTGGGGCGCGAGGAGCCGGCGGTGAGCATGGACTCGTCGGGCAAAATTCTCTGGGCGAAGCACACGGAGATTCAGCAGGCGAATTTGAAGACGATCTCCGCCGAGGAGTCGGAAGCGATTCAAGGTGAGAATCATTTGGATTTCAAGCTTTGCGAATTCTTTTGTTTTTCTCTTTCTTTAGATGGTGAGCGACTTCCGCTGTCGGTCAAAGATCTTGGCTCGTCGGAGATTTATCCGCAGACTTTGGCGCACTCATCGAACGGACGATTCGTGGTGGCTTGTGGTGATGGCGAATATATTGTCTATACCGCCATGGCGCTGAGAAATAAGGACTTCGGACAGGTTTGTGCGAAAATGACATTCGACTCATGAGAATTTGTTTTCTAGGGTCTCGAATTTGTGTGGGCTGTTGATCCGAACATGTTCGCCGTCCGTGAGTCGGCGACGAATGTGAAGATCAAGAAGAACTTCAAAGAATTCAAGGCGATTCGATCGGATTTGGTGATTGAGGGCATTTCGGGAGGGCCGCTGCTCGCGTTGCGCTCGACCAATTCGTTGTGCTTCTATGATTGGGAGACGGCGACGCTGGTCCGTCGCATCGAGATCAACTCGAAGAGCGTCTATTGGAGCGACAATGGCGAGATGGTGGCGATTTGCGGCGACGACTCGTTCTATGTGTTGAAGTACAATTCGGAGGCGGTTGAGAATGCTGCCGAGACGGACATAACCGAAGATGGAATCGAGGACGCGTTCGAGGTGATCGGCGAGCAGCAGGAAGCGGTGCGAACGGCGTTCTGGATTGGCGACTGCTTCATTTTCACGACGGCGTTGAATCGAATCAATTACTATGTTGGCGGTGAGATTGTCACGATTGCGCATGTCGATCGTCCGCTCTACCTTCTTGGGTATATGGCGAAAGAGTCGCGGGTGTACGCGGTCGATAAGGATTTGAACGTGATCTCCTACAAGCTTCTCCTTTCGGTGCTCGAGTATCAGACGGCGGTGATGCGACGCGATTTCGACACCGCCGACAAAGTGCTGGCGACGATTCCCAAAGAGCAGCGCACGCGTGTGGCGCACTTCCTTGAGAAGCAGGGATTCAAGAAGCAGGCGCTTGCCGTGTCACAGGATGCCGATCACAAGTGAGTTTGAAGAAGCGAGATTGTTTGAATTCATTTCTTCAAGATTCGATTTGGCTCTTGGACTTGGCGAATTGAAGATCGCCTATGATTTGGCGGTTCAGACGGATTCCGAGGAGAAATGGAAGGCGTTGAGTAACGCGGCGGCGTTCAAATCGGACTTTGGTTTGGCGCGCGAATGCTATGAGCGAGCGCGCGATTACGGAGCGTTGCTCATGTTGGAGTCGTGCGCGGGATCGAAGCCGCATATGCAGAAGGTTTTCAATTTTCGGAAATGCGTAAATTTTTCCGTCTTTGTGCATTTTCAGCTTGCCTCGGAATGTGCCGCGACCGGCAATCACAATGTGACATTTATGAGCAATTTGCTTCTTGGAAATTTGGAAGAGTGCCTTGAGCTTCTTATCAAAACTGACCGACTACCGGAAGCGGCGTTTTTTGCGCGCACTCGCTTACCGTCGCAAGTTCCGCGAGTTGTCGAGTTGTGGAAAGCGAAAGTCTCGAAGGTCCATGAGAAATCGACACGGGTATGTGTTTATGTGTTTGCTTTAAAAATGTGCCATTTCGATTTGTGGAATTATATTTGGTGCTTGCAGAAAATTGGTGAATCTTTGGCGGATCCGGTGAAGTATGAGAATCTGTTTCCCGGCTACGCCGAATCGCTTCGCGCCGAATCGTACATTCGGCAAGTGTCGATGTTGGCGGTGCCGGCGTCGGCGCGGCCGCCGTCGAACGCGAATCGCGATGTTCAACAGGAAATGGAGGAGGCGATTGCGGCTGGCATGTTGAAATTCACCGACGATGGTCGAGCTGTGCTCGGCAACGCGCCGGTCGCGTCGCAACCCGCGCAACAGCCGACGGTTCAGCGAATTCCGACACCGGAGCCAGAACCGGAATCGCAGCCGGTTCATGAGAAGCCGGAATCGGATGATGACGACGAGGAGGAGGAGATTGAGGAGAAGCAGGAGGTTCATATTCCGGTACGTCGATTAGTTTTGTTGAATCTCATATCTGGTGATGTTCGTTTTTTTGTAGAAGGTCGAAGAGGCGGTGAGCGCTTCTCGCGCTCCTGATGTGCTCTCGAAGTCGGGACGGCCAGACATTGTTCCATCGGAAGTTGGGCCCGATTTGGTGCCGGCCGCTTCTGGGCCAGCACCTAGCCGTCAACAGCAACAGGTAATCGGAACAGATGCTGACTGACGGAATGCACAATGACCAATTCAGGCCGTTGTTGATGATGACGATGAGGTGCGATGGTCGGATGACGATGATTTTGGTGATGCCGACGGCGGAAATGACATCAATCTCGATGAGCTGAATCTTGACGATGAGGATTGACTCGTGGTCGATCAATCTGCAAAAAGCGAGTGAAGCGAATAATTGCCCCCCTTGAGAAAATGTGCCTTTTTTTTTAAACATTTGAATATCGTGTTGTTAGTTTTTCATGTGCAGATTGATCGATGATTGAATTGAAAATTGGTGATGGTGTTTTTCTTTAATTAATGGGATTACCTAACAAGTACGCAGCACATTAAAAACTAACAAGCAAGAGAAAAAATTGAATGAATGATGGACCTTGTTTTATCGCATTATTTATTATTATAATTATTATCGCGATTTTGTCTAATTTATGCACTTTTATGTGATAATATATTGTCTATTTTTACTGGTCACCCATGTTTAAACGCATCCGATTTGTTTTCAGTGCTCTTCCTCCTCTTTTTTTGCGGTGTTTTCTTTTGTTTTGTTTTTTTGAAAATTTTAATTTATTTATTATTCTGGGTTCTCTTTTCTCCCCTTTAAATGTGTCTCCGCCCCTCCTTTTTTTTTCAAAATGTGTTCGCTTCTTTTTGTACAATTAGAATATGGATTTTATTGAAATTTCTTATGAATGGAGTTGGTTAGGCACGGCGGACTACCCGCTGTTAATTTCTTTTTGTTGAGTTGACGACTGCATAATTGAGTGATTGGTGATTTTGGCGTCGCTGTCAGACTTGTAGTCGCGAGGCTCGCACCATTTTCGGGCGAATGTCGATGGCGGGACGATTGGCGGCGATGGTGGCTGAAACGGAACGGGCCGTCGCATGTGTTGCTTGGGTGTCGCCGTCGATTCGCACTGGGAACGATGATGGTGGCGTGCCGTCGACATTGATGGCTGGCGCGACGCCAACCCGTCAGGTGTTGTTGGCGTCGGCGGCGGTGCCGCGCGACGATGGCGCCTCGCGCTGCAAACGCGACATTGACGTGACGCCTGTTGACGATTTGCGTTTTACCATTTTGTTGTACAACGAGGCGATGTTTTGCGCGATGGTGCTCGAGAACGGCTCGAGAAATAGAATAATTTGGCGCGACGAGGAGACGCAATTGATTGCGGTTCGACACCTGAAAGAAGAACTGAAATTTTAGGCGAAAATCTAGAAAAAAATGGGCGCGTTGTAATTTCGCGTCGCGGTGTTTGCACACATTTCGACATACCGTAGTTGAACGGAAATTCAATTAATTGTTTTCAATTCGATGGCTCTTCTTTTTTAATTTTTTTTTGTTGAAAATTTCCTCTGAATTTGCGGAAATTACTAATTTCAAGTTTGAATTATTATTTGAATTGGGATGCATATTTTTTGGTTCCCAATTAGAGCGCGTTGTTTACGATGAAAAACCGAACCGAGCTCAAGAGTTCAAACAACCAAACAAAAAAAAATTAATAAACGCCTACCGTGATTTTGGCGGTCGATCGTGTTGCTTATTCTTGATAAACTCGTCGAGATAGGCTTCGCTCTTTTTTTCCATGAAATTGATTCGTTTGGACTTCTGAAATTTCAGTCAAAAAAAAAGAAACTAGGAAATATAATAGAATGAAATTTTTGTTTTGATGTTGCTCATTACCGTTATGTCATTCTTCTTCACATTTCGCATGATCACAAGAAAATTGTCGCCGGGTCGTCCGTGCGACGCGATGTACTTGTGGAGGGCGGCAATTTGGGCGACGAGACCATCGGACGGTTTGCACAACTCGGCGATGTCGACACGCTTGAGTTTGTAGTAATCGAGATCGAGATTCTCGTGGACGACTTGCGCGCTGAACACGAGCACGTGGTCGTCACGTCGCGACAGCGTGAAGCCGAACTCGAGCATCACGTCGCGGCACGTCGGCACGAGATTCGCGAACGAGCCGGTGTGAAGCGAGAGGCGAGCGATTCGGCGCGTTTTGTGGAAATAGCGAAGGAACGGCTCGGCGCACTGATGGTACTCATCGAGGCGCTTCTAAAAATGGCATTGAACACACACACATCGGGGTTTCACTCGCGCGCACCTCGAGGCGTCCTTTGTCGATGTCATCGATGCCCTTCATGAACTGACTCATCTCGGGACTCAGCTTCTTGTTGTTCGCCTCTTTGGCGCTCTCATTCGGCGCGATGAGCTCCTGCTCATCGAGCACACTGATGTCAAGCGCGAATGTGATCGGATGCTGAAAACAAAAAAGCAAATCATTGAGTGATCGTCTGAAACTCACCGTTCGCTCGAAATTCTCCAAACTCCGATCGTGCGTTCGCGATTTGTAGCTGTCGGCCTTCATGATTGTGGCGAGCGTCGGCACGATGTCGACGACGAATCGTTGGCCCATCGACGTCGAGAGTTTCGCGCTGATCATCGACAATATCCAGTCGACGGTGAGAATGCCCTGATCGCGTTTGAGTATCTCCTGTATCTCGCCGATCGACTCGATCGTGTTGGCGACGCGATTCGGCAAATAATTGAAGACGATGTCCTCGACGGAGATCGAGACGAAATTGAACGAGCCGGTCAATTCTTGGATGACGAGGCCTTTTTGCGATGCGGGACCGCCTGAAAGCGAAACGAAAAAAAACCCATGCCGGTATATCCGGAAATTCGATTGACGTCACGGATTAGTCGAGGGTTTCGAATGGACTCGCCGGATTAGTGGTGGGCATACTAGGCGCGTCGAATTACGTAATGCGCCTTTAAATTGTTGGCAAAAATCGCTGTTGCGCGACCTTGAAAATGTCCGCAGCATGAATGGCTTATCAAAGGGGGCAACCAGACGGCCGCTTTTTTTCGATTTGTCAAACTCACCAAAAATGAAAATGATGGTGACGTCGGTGGAATTGAGCTGATGGCGAATGCCGGTGCCGATGTCGACGGGTATCGGCGGCGGTGGGCCGAATTTGTCGGACAACGCCTCCGATGGCGGTGTCGGTGCCGACGGAGTGCAGCCCATCCATGCACACAGCCGACGCAGTGCTGAAAATTTGACGGCGATGTGAAAAGACACAAAAATTGCTAAAAGCTTATATATATAGCTATATATAGAAATAGAGAGAGAGTCGAGGCAATTGTCAATTTCCTGACGAGCCACCAATTTTTTTTCTCCCTCGTCTTCGCGTCTTCTTCGCCTCGGAAATGTCCGATTTCCGTTGAACGCGGGTAGCGAGGAAGTTGTGCTGCGGACGTCTCGCGGGAGGAAAAAAAAATTGACGAAGAGGCGTTTCTTCTTTTTCTCGTGGCAAAAATTCGGAATTGTTCTCATCTGCGGACATCTATATTGAAATTGTCCGCAGCACGATGTCCTTATTATTGGCGGGGGAGGCAATATCAAATAGTAAAAAAAAATTTGCGAGAAGTAATATAAATCAAAGAGAGAGAGAGAGAGAGAGATTGAAAGAAGCCATTGAAGAGGCTTCATCGAATGAATTGCGCCATAATTGCGCCAAGAGACGTATGAGAGCCCAGTGATAATCATAATCATAAATAATAATAATAATAATAATAGAAGGGGGGGATGCATGAGGGCGGATTAATGAGAGTCACACACACACACACACAGCTTGCGCACAACAAAGCTTTTGCTCTTCTCGCCTGCTGTTTGATGAGTACGTGCACTAATATAGCGTATATGATGATGATGGGGGGGGGGGTCTTATAAATATCCATATTCGGCGAGGAAGCCCAATTAGAACTTGTGCTACCGTAACCATGGCTACCATCAGCGTGTCGAACCCCCCCCCCGGTCTTTTCCCGATCCTCTACTGATCCGATAATTCGGCGTATTAATAACAAAGAGAGCCTACGTCTTCTAGTAGCCGCCCGAATTTGTTTGGGCGGAGAAAAAATGAGGCGAGAATCCCCAAAAAAAATTTTTTGACGAAAATTCCAAAATAAAATTATTGCGTTGAAGCGAATGATATGAATTTGCTGCTGCGGACAATTGAACGGGTTGCTAGTTCCCAAAAATGACCCTGAAATCAACGATATTTCAACATTTTTTTTGGAATGCGCCTTTAATGCCTACTGTAGATTTGCATTCGTTTGATAGGCAGCCAAGATTCGCCCAACTTTGAAAGCCTTAGCGAAAATCCATAAAAAAAATTTTTCCAGAGGCCTCAGATTACGTCGAATTTCCTCGTGAACTTTGAGCGTCCTGACGTAATATTAAGAAAGGCGAAAAAAAATTTTTTTCCGATTTCACACAAATGCGTGATATAATTTGTTGATGGCATTAAAGGGACTACGCGAATTTGATGCGCCTTTAAAATCGGCATATACGAGATTTAATTGATGCCCCACTAGTGATAGAGAAATTGCAAAAAAAATCATATTTAAGAGATGGTCGCTCGTGATTGTGATTTTAAAGGCGCATGGCTTAAAGGCGCGTTGGAAACCGTGCTATTTTTTGGCAAATTTAAAGGTGCATGCGAGATAGTTTAAAGGCACAGAGCGCCAGGAGGTGATTGCACACATTCTTTTTTAGTATATCAGAATTAATCTCTTGCAAAACGTTATGCGCCTTTAATTTGAAAACAAAGAACCAAAGTATTGAAAGCACTTATCTAAAAATTTTTTTGACATTTGTTAAATTAAATTTATTAAAGGCGCATATGAGTTGGGTCTCGTGCCGATCAACTTTTCGCCTAATTTTTGCGCTTTCTTCTGACCTCAATGGTCCCAAAAACTAGAAAAAATTGAATTTCAAAGTGTCGATGTTCGCAAAAATTTCGAGTTTTGAATGGTCCCTCTGAATCCCATTTTTCGAAAAACTCGTTGGGCCATAAAAAGTTGAAGTTGAAATTCGCAAAAAAAACACAATTTTGGAGGGTCCGCAAAAATTTTCGACGAAAAATTGCAATTAATTCTTTAAAGGCGCATCGCTGAAATATTGAATGGTTGGCGAATTTTTGAATGAGATGCGCCTTTAAGAAATTCAACGCGCATTCAAATTGAACTATTTAAAAGGGCAGTCTAATTAATGAGCAATTAGTTAATTGGATTGTCATGGTTCAAACCAACCCCATATGAATCACTCAATTATCGCGTGTTTTAAACTCGAGCGGGTCTCGAAGCGAACGATACAATAATCCGGCAAAAATTGGGGAATGACGATCTATCGGAAATTGAGCATCCGGCGAAAAATGAATTGCGGGTTTTTTTTTGCTAAAAATAATTCGAAATTGAGTTTTTTTTGGGCGAAAAAAAACGTGACGCATGAATCGCTCATTTTTGTTTCCCGAAGGCGTCTCAGCGTGCATTATGAGCAGTAATACGAGCAGTGGGTTTTTTGTTTTGTTTTGATTTTTTGAAAATCGCAAAAAGAAAATTTGATCTACGCCCAAAATGAACGATATTTTTCCACGAGTCCGAAATTTTTTTTTTCATTTTTTTGTTCGGTCAATTTTTGTCGTTGCAGAAATGACAACACCATCGGTGCTTCTGGTGCCGTCGCGAGTGAATCTCGACAAATTTCTTGAGCGATTAATGAACATTGGCAAACTTGGCACCGGCTTCTCGTCGACAATCACCGAGGACGTGAGTGGCGCGCCTCGAACGATGTCCGCAGCACGAAAATCATATCAGTTGTCGGCGCCCAGCACTTTTTTCCAGAGGGCGGCCAACTCAAAATGACCCATTTAAAGGCGCACATCATATTTTCAACAAAAAATGTATATTTAAAGGAAGCAAAAAAATTGTTATGTGCAGAAAAAATCAGAAAAATCCCTATAATCGTTAAAATTTTCCGATTTTCCGAGTCTCGCAATTTTTTTTTTGCAATTGTCACAAAAAAAATGTTTTCGCTTCAAGACCCTTTTCCTCGATTTTTTTTTAAATTGGCTAAAACAAAACTGACAATTGGACTTTGACGGCGATTTTCAGGAAATCGCCGACCTCATCGCCGAAACGACGGAATGCTTCATGAAGCAGTCGATGATGTTGGAAGTCGTCGCGCCGGTGACCCTCGTCGGCGACATTCACGGCCAATTCGGCGACCTCATCCGCCTATTCAAAAACGTCGGATTTCCGCCGGACGTCAACTATTTGTTTCTCGGCGACTACATCGATCGCGGCCAATTCTCGATCGAGACAATCATTTTTCTGATGGCGCTCAAACTCAAATATCCCGACAACTTCCTATTGCTTCGCGGCAATCACGAGACGCGTCTCGTCAATCGCATCTACGGCTTCTACGACGATCTCAACAAACGCTTCGGAACCGTTCGATTGTACGAGGCGTTTCAGGTAAACATCGAGAGTCCAATCTCCCGTTGGGGGTTTTTTTGAGTTTTAAATGAATAAGCATCTGCGGACATTTTCCGCCAATTCAAACAAGGAACGCAGTTTTTAAGCGATTTTGACAAAAATCGCCAAAATTATTTTTATAGGAATCCCCACCTTGGTCTGAAAATTCAGATTGAAATTTTCGTATGCGCGCTTTCATATCCAGAGTTTATTCCAAGTGGCTATCAATCCTCTGTGGTTGAGTGGAAAATGTCTGCGCTGGCGCGCGTTTTTGCGCGGGCTCGACCCCCTCCCAACCTCAAATCCTTTTTGCAATCAATTTTTATCCACTAAAATTACATTTAAAGCTCACAACACCACAAATTACAGTCGATGTTCAACGCGATGCCGCTGACGGCGCTCGTCGGCCAACGAATTCTGTGTATGCACGGCGGATTGTCGAGCGAGATGCTCACGATGGACTCGCTCGACGTGCTCAACAAATTCACTCGGCCGCTTTTGGTACGCAAAACGGTGGGCGGGGCGAAAATGACGACGTTTTGCATTTTCCAGGATCCGCCGAATCCGTCGCTGGCCATCGATCTACTCTGGGCGGATCCCGACATCGGCACCAAGGGCTTCAAGAACAACATTCGCGGGTGCAGTTGCACGTTCGGTCCGGACGTCGTCGCGCAAATTTGCGACAAATTCAAACTCGATTTGATCGTGCGCGCCCATCAGGTCGTTCAGGACGGCTACGAGTTTTTCGCCAACAAGAAGCTCGTCACGTTGTTCAGCGCGCCGCACTATTGCGGCCAGTTCGACAATGCCGCCGCCGTCATGCAGGTCAACAAGGACCTCGTCTGCTCGTTTCGCATTTTTCGGCCGCAATTTCCCGCCAAAGGCGTCACCGCCGCGCGATCATCGCTAACCGTCCTTCCGGCGCCGCCGAAATAAATCCATGTGTCGCTCGATCGAATTGTTTGTTTCTCACACACACATTTTCGCAATAGAGCGCACTTGCGTCAACTTCACTGTTTTTTCCGTCTATTTTAGTTATTGTACATTTGAATTTAAAAAAAATGTCACGCGTTGCAAGTGCGCTCTATCGAAAAGAGCTTGTGGCGGGAGAACGTTTCAAACGCGCTCCATTGATAATCCAAAAAAATTTATTCCTCGAATCGACAAGCATTACATGTAAAACGGTACAAGTCAAACCCGTTGAAGGACGTCTACGAAAAAAAAATAATAATGCAAAAATGAAACCAGAAGCCAAAAATATTATATATGTCAAAAAAAATATATATATATTGAACCAAAATGTATGCTCGGGTGACCCGGTTTCGGTTGTCGTCGTCGTCATCGTCATCGCTTCTCTCCAATCAATTCACAATCGAGCTCACCAGCAGCTCGCCTTTCCGCGACCAATCGCAAAACATGTAGTACCGTAACAGCATACGGTATTTGTCGGAGAACAGCATGTAGATGCAGATATTGCACGAGGCGTTGATAATCACCTGCAACGAATGCTCGATGAGAAAATTCCAATTTTGGGTGTGTGTGGCGTCACCAGAACATTGTTGAACGTCACCATCGACATATAGGCTTCACCCTCGACGCCCATGTTCTCCATGATGTTACAGACGAACGCAAGCGTGTTGCACGAGATGAACAGAAACACAATCGAGATGAGCATTATCGACGTTTGTCGCTCTTTGCGTTCGGCCTTCTTCGAGAACTCCTCGCTCTCGACGCCGCACTGCGACACCATGTGCATTCGACGGCTGCGGCGGACCGCCGACAACACCATCGAGTTGAGCGCGATGAGCAGACTGAACGGCACCACGTACATCACTATCGTGTACGCCCAACCGAAGAAGATTTGCCTGCAATTTCATCATTCCTAAACTGCCTGCTGCGGACAATCTTCGAGGCAACTCTGAAGTGTTCAAATTTTGCAAAAAATTTTTTGCTTCAATTCCCATCCAGGATGTTCGGCGAAATTTTTTCTAACCGCCAAATTTCGAGCCGAATGGCCGCTCAATGAGCACATTTCATTTGGGTTGCTTTCTTTTTTTGGTTCGAATAAAATTTGAATGTCTAATTAACCTATACAAATCGCTCATTCGCAATGACGTCGGCTGAAGCGACGGCATGTAGTAGTCGATGTTGGTGCGATAGCACACGTTCGAGATGTGCACCTCGAAGAATCGCGTGGTGTTGAACAGAACGGCGAACGTCAACAGGCCGATGATGAACGTGGTGACGCGCTTCTTCGGCAACAACTCGACCGATTTGTACGGATGGCACACGCCGATGTAGCGATGCACCGAGACGCCGACGGTCATGAACACGCTGAAATCAATCGAATCGAATGACTGACGATGGCCGCGTGGCGATCTACCTGCATGTCTGCGCCGTGTTCATCAATCCATACATGTAGGGTGTCACCGAATAGCTGCAACAGAAAAAAAAATGCATTAAAAAAAAATTCGAATCCAATTATTATACCTAATATAGTTTGCGCGCCACCACGTCAGAAATTCGCCGAATCGCGGAAGCGACAACACGAAAAACGCCGAGACGAGAATGAGCGTGTCGCTGAGCGACAACACGGCGAGATACCAGTTGATCGACGAGCCCGACATGATGCGATGCGTGAAAATGCGCACCGATGTGACGTTGGCGAGCACACCGAACACGATGATCGGAATCGCGACGAGACCCAACATGAATCTACAATCAAATCGGCGGCAATCATTCAATGCGATCGTCAAATTCGTACCTCTCAAGCGGCTCGTATGAAGCGTACTCGGTGTGGCACGCGCACGACGTGTTCAACGGCGTGCACAGATCCTCATCGATCGCGTCATAGAGGGGAAGTGTCGGCGATGAGGAAGGCAGCGATGGCGACGACGACGACGACGACGGAATCGAGGCGACGACATCATCGAACCATGTCAAATTCATGATTATTGATGTTGATGATGATTCGGACGTTGGGTGCCGTTGCCGCCGCAAAACGTCGAAATGTAATCGGTCTCGCGGACGAAGCGCACCGTCACCAATTCGCCTGAAATCAACCAAAATCTATATTTATGTATATGGAGGCAATTTGAACAACAGAAAACCAAACAAAATCGAAGGAATAAAAAATATTGGGTGGCAGGTGAGAATTGCGAGCGAGTGTTTCACAGGTGAACCCGACGGCTACCGTAGATGGAATGAATGACGCGAAATCGATTTGCGGCGAGCGCGAATGTTTATTAATATATATACATAAATGTATATCAAGAAATGCAATTTGCCGAGAATAAATTCGAATCGCTTTCGCCCCTCAATGATTCATTGTGATTTCGCGTCGAGAGCAACTCAAGCTTTTTCGGGGGGGGGGGGACCATCTTGTCAATTGCGCCCTCCAACACCAACGAAAACACGCGCGAAACGACGAATGAGACGGACTCGTCGCATTAATGAAAAATTCATAATAATGTAACGTCGATGCAAGTTTTTGGAGTTGGACGAGCATCATCATGACGAGGAAGAGGATGAACATTGTCGATTTCTTCTCGAATACTCGAAAACGAGATGCAGTGTTTGACAAAAAATTATTTAAAGGCGCATGTGTGACAATTTAAAGGCGCTTACCTATGGAATGATGAAGGACCAAAAAAAAAGTGAGGTTCAAAAGGAATAGGATGAAGTGTATGCAAATTCGCGTTTTTTGACCTTCTCAAATCACTGTGAGAAGAAACGACGTCAGTCGTTTTTGCTCCATATATAGGAGGGGGGGGGGCTCTAATAAAGGCACCTGCTGGTTACACCGTCATATCCAATTACGCATATTTTGCGAAATCTAGCAATACGGCGAAAACGAAACAAACATTTTCGCCTTCCCTAATGATGTTCAACGATCTGCGGACAATTCTCGAGGCCGAAAGTCAGAGGTGTCAAAAAAAAAAAGAAACAAATTGGCGCGACTCCAAATCCACCATCCATTCATTCGTGAAAGACAAAAAATTTATATACATATACATATTTGACTGCACACACCATGTCTCTATTGAATGATATTCATTGATGCGGTTCAGTGAGCTCGGCTGGGTCCGCTTGGGGGGGGGAAGAAGGGGTGCCTTCCGAGAATCGCACAGGAAAAAAGGAACCAAATCAGGGAAGCAGCATTTTTCCGCGAACACATCAATGCATTACACATTTTCCATCATTTCTTCTTCTTTTTTTTTGCACTTGTCTTCCAATGGGAGATAAAGACAAAAAAAAGTAGAAAAATTGGGCAGTTTCGTACATTTCTGATGAGACCCCCCCCCCACTTCTACCGTATCTCCATAAGGTTGCGCCTTTAAACTCGTTCGCTTCAATGTGCGATGAGAAGTGCCGCATGTCGGGTCTTGACGCGAAACGCCGTAGGAGTGCGCCCTTATCAAATATGCAAATTGCGCCTTTAAACATCGGCTCTCGGCACACCCAAAACAAATCGACACATATGATTAGGCCGACAATTTTCGGTGTGCCATTTTTGGGCAAATGGCGACACAAATATCAATGTTCGACATTTGCCAAAAAAAAAATGGCGAAACACCACCAAAAGACCAATAAACGCGCCAATGGGTCTCGCGACGATTGAGACACACGAAATCGACAATTGGCATTAAATACAACACAGACAAAAAAAAAACAAACGAGAAACGAGTTGAAAAAAAACAAGGACTACTTTCGAGGGGCCACTTAACAAAGAAGAGACTTCCCAAAAAAAACACACACATGTATATACAAGAACGCGAACAAGTTGGGCGGGGTTCGTTTCAAGACCAACGCCTTTATTTTTTTTCTCTTTCTCTCGCGAAATCTCATTAACCGACAAGAGAAAAAAAAAACTCGTTTGGCTCACAAGAAACAAAAAAAACGAGAGAAGGAGGAAGAAATTAATCATTCGCGGCGCGGCGCGCGCGAGCAATTTTTTCTAATGAATTCGTGAAAAGTTGGGCCGACGCAAATCAAAACTTCAAACTTTTAGAAATCGTGGGCGTGGCTCGATGTGCCGTCGATCATGTCTATTTATTTATTTTTTCCACGGTGTGACGTGCAAAAAAAATCTACACCCAAATTTTAGTGGGAACGCCAACCCGGATAATTGTCGGCAGCACAAAATGCTAAAGTGCGTTTCGATCTAGGCTAGACTTTGAAGGGTTTATTCTTTTTTTTAATTTCAGAATATTGAGTCTGACAAATTTTTCGTCGGCCACCTGGAAATAAAAACGAAAAAAAAAGCAGTGAAAAATAATGTAAGAATTGTAACAAAAAATTGTGGTTGGCAGACGGCCAAGAAAAAAAAAAGAGCCCGTAAACAACAACAACAGAAAAGAAATTGCGGACCACTAAATTTTTGGATGGCATTTTTTTTTCTTTCGCTTCTCTCGTTCCCACAGGTAACAAGTTGACAGTCGACAAATCAAAAATTTGTCCGCAGCATGACTATCAAAAAAGCCGGCCTCTCAGCTCAACGAGCGCTAGCATCCCGCGAATTGTCGGCAGCACAGATTCATTCATTTTTTCAATAAAAAAAAACTTGGTGAAAGAGAGAGAGAGAGAAAAATTTAGAAAAAAAAGTATCTGGGGATGTTCGTCGCGTGGGAGACCACATCTGTGGCCCCCACTCCCAAAAAAAATTCAATTAGGCGCGCCTCGCGTCCAATTTTATTATTTATTTATTTATTTGGTAGCTTCTGCTGCTGCTTCTGCTACAGCTTTTGCTGGAACATGAAATTTGTTGGTGTCTCATGTTCCGGTGGCTCCAAAAAAAAATATATATATATATAACGAAGTCGCGCGCAAAGCGGAAGGCCTCGTCGCCAATTATTGCGATTTTCTAAGAAATGGCGCGCTCGAGTTTAATTAATTTCGTGTGCCAAGTTTGATGGGCGACATGCTGCCGACAATTGGCGAGCCCTCGTAAACTGTTGGATTAATTGCGAGGAGCACAACAAAAGCTTATGGGGGGGGGTGCAATCGATGCATTGAGAAACAATAGAGCGCGGCGAAACCCCGTTAAATGTCCGCAGGTGATAATTGTTTCCTCCAATACACATCGCGCAATCAACACATACAGAAACTATAGGGCGCGGCGAAACCCCGTGAAATGTCCGCAGGTGTTAATTGTTTCCTCAAATACACATCGCGCAATCAACACATACAGAAACTATAGAGCGCGGCGAAACCCCGTGAAATGTCCGCAGGTGATAATTGTTGGCCAAACGAAGAATAGATAAAAAATAGCATTCGGCGCCCCGTAAAATTATTTTTTCCGGCCCACACACACACACAATTCTTTCATTTTACACACCAACCCAAATAGACGCTCGGAAATGTGAACACACAACGCGAAATTCATTAATCAAAAGAAATGCCACAATATTTCAATCAAATATGAAAGCAAATACGAAAACTGCAAAAGTTCGCAGATGAAAATAGAAGAAGTTGGTTACAAAAGAAAAAAAACGCTTGGGAATCGACAAAAGTTCAGGTGGTTTTCGGGCAGCTGCAACAACCAATGCTACCGTAATCCAGAGTTTCGTTTAGAGGGAGTCGCTACAGTAATCCAGAGGAGAGATCGAGAATCTTGAAAATACTGTGAGCATTTTTGAAGTTTGCGAACTGCTACCGTAACCCCTGAAGCCAAATTTTTTTAATGCCAATAATAAATCGAGACTGATGAATGCTCGCATTCTCGTTGGGACCGGCGAGGCGGAGAAATGGGCGTGACCAATCGCGAGGACCATAAAAACCATATTTAACGACCGTCGTGAAGTGTGTGTCCAAAATGGGACAACCACAAAAGTTTCATATTTTACGATTTCGGCGCGACGCCTCAAAAAAAAATTCTTCATTTTCGTACCATAAAATGATTGATTTATGAGAGCGAATGCCGTCATTCGTTGATTTATAGATATAACGAGCTAGGAAAAAAAAAGAGAGAGAGAGAGAGAGCATTTAAATATGTGTTCGTATGAAAGTAGAAGCTTAATTCGAGCGGTTCAAGTGTTCATCACCCTCTCGATTGGCAACACTATCTCGCTGGATAAACGAAAAACAAGCAACACTCCGAAATGTTAGCAAACTCGTGAAATTCCGATGATCATGAAAATTATTTATCGGCATGCTAATTGGGTTTCAGATTTGTGCGATGGACCTATTCTTTTTTTTTTTACATAAACCTGAATTGAGAGAAAAAAAAATAATTTTCATTTTTTCTAAAATGAATTCACATCTGTCGACAAATTAGCCAGATTAATTGAGAGGCGCGATTCTCATCCGTTGGAAATTAATAAATTCACATCTGCGGACATCAATCAGTGATAAATCGCGCCGCAAACAACAAACATCGCTCACATATTGCAATTCTCATCTGCGGACAATTCACAAGAATTCAAGTGTCACACCAAATCTCCATCGTCGCTCTCATTTCGTTTGGCTATCAACTAAATTCTCATCTGCGGACAAATTGCGGCGAGAATTGAGGGCTCCAATTATAGTGGTCCCAACTATTTCCCTCCCCTCATCGGCGAACAAAATGAAACGAAAAAAAAAATCATTCGCGCCGAGGCTTCTCGTTCTACCGTAATTCGCCACGTGGCGCCACATCAAAAATTGCTCAAATTGGAAATGGAAAAAACCGATTTGAGGCATTCAAAAACGTCATTTAATATTCATTCAAGTGTAACAAAACCAAAAAAAAAGAGAGAGAGAGAGAGAGAGAGAAAGAGAGAAAAAGGAGAATTCAGCGAGCCAAACATTTTTTTTTAATGAAAAAATTCAAAAAGCAACAAAAAACTCGTATTTATCTCTCATTTCCATAATAGTCAAATTCGCTAAGCGATTACTGTATCATTTGAATTGGGTCTCGTATGGAAGAAAAAAAAAACACTTTGAATTGAGATAATGTGAAATATCATCAT